ATTTGTCATACACCAGTCAATCAAAACCCCAGAAATGATTGTCACATTTGTCATACACCTGTCAATCAAAACCCCAGAAATGATTGTCACATTTGTCATACACCTGTCAATCAAAATCCCAGAAATGATTGTCACATTTGTCATACACCAGTCAATCAAAACCCCAGAAATGATTGTCACATTTGTCATACACCAGTCAATCAAAACCCCAGAAATGATTGTCACATTTGTCATACACCAGTCAATCAAAACCCCAGAAATGATTGTCACATTTGTCATACACCAGTCAATCAAAACCCCAGAAATGATTGTCACATTTGTCATACACCAGTCAATCAAAACCCCAAAAATGATTGTCACATTTGTCATACCAGTCAATCAAAACACCAGAAATGATTGTCACATTTGTCATACACCAGTCAATCAAAACCCCAGAAATGATTGTCACATTTGTCATACCAGTCAATCAAAACCCCAGAAATGATTGTCACATTTGTCATACACCTGTCAATCAAAATCCCAGAAATGATTGTCACATTTGTCATACACCAGTCAATCAAAACCCCAGAAAAAGTGTTGCTATGTACTGTAAAATACTTTAGCTGGAATTAATTTTCACTGAAAAGACTTTTTTGGGGACAAGTTAAATGTAAAATATAGGAAAAAAGGTTTATTAACTAGATTTTATTTTCACTGATTCATTTCTTCAGTAAAAATAGTGAAAACTAATTTCAAACAAAAATAAAGTATTTTACACCAGTGAAAATAACTTCCATATCCCACAAACATGGATCTGAAACAGTATTTGCATTTTGCTATTTTAATATGGATTTGAAAAAAATCATTGTATATAAAATATATATACAAAATGTACATGTATATGCTCAATGTATCAAGATGGACAAAAGCTATCTATGTATATAAACTAAGATCTTGGTTTGTAATGGTAAAATGTCATTCAGCCATCTTGAATTTACATTGTAAAAATTAATGTGCATATGTGTAACATCATGTATGATATGCATATATAATGTTTGGTCAAAACATGTCAGAAATATGGCTTCGGATCCACATTCATAAAAACAAAATGGCCGCCTGTCAGTCATTTTGAATCTGATCTGAAAAACAAATGTGATACTAGGTCCCATGATGTCAAATGTATGTAACAAATTTTAAACAACTGAGATCTGGTTTCGAAATGGCAGAAATGTTTGATTTTGATAAATTGTTAATATTAAAAATGGCTGTCATTTGCCCATCTTGAAATACATAATGAAACAAATGGACATGCATATGTATCCCAAGATGTACATTGTATGATGAAATATATGATGAAATTGACTCCAGACATTTTCAAAGTAAGGTCAGCTTTTACCATTAGCTAATATTTCTAATATAAATTGAGCTTATATTCCAGGACTGATTATCCTAAAAGAATATGAGTGATAAAAATAAATTTTATTTTGGTCCAATACAAAAATAATATAAAAGAGGTTTATTCTCTAATCTTGAATATAATTGTACCATGGCTGCATTTAATTGGACAATGAGCATTCTCCAATTGTCATGTTACATGTACATAACGTAACCTGGTTTATGACATGGTACACAAGATCAAAGTACCGACAATACAGATTATTCAGCAAACTGATTGCATAAATGTTGTTTCATTTTATCAAAATGTATTAATACACTGAGTGAAGACAGGTTTGCCATGCTTAAAAGAAACATGGAGACCTATCATTATGAGAGAGAGTGTGGTTTGTTATTAATACAGGCGGCATCAAAAAGAGCATTCATGGCAGACACAAGTAGACATCAATAAAAAGAAATCAGCAAAGAGGAAATGAAAACCGATCTAAATGATCTTCAAGGAGTTAAACGAGACTGCAAAAGATGTTGAAGTCAAAATCCTCAAAACATGTACACAATTTCCTGTCATTGGGAGCAGTTGGCCATGGAAACATGTGTTACACATTGAAACATATCTCAACTCTTTGAATGATTTTTTTTTTCACAGACATTTTGGTATTTTTAATTTTTTTTTTTTAATTTTGACAAAATTTCCAATTGGTTACAGTTTGGTAAAATTTTTCACAACAAAAAGAAATACTTTCTAGAGGTATATTTTATGAAATGTTTTAATTAGCATTTCAAAAACAGACATTTTTTTATTGAGATCAGTCAGGATGTACAGTGCTAATGGTGTTATAGTCAGTGTTTGCCAATTCAATTCAGGTTTCATTTTTTAAATACCTGAATGGACAAATTTTTTTACCTTGCCCTTCTTAGTGTTTATTACGGATATACTATAATGTTAATTTGACCAGATTTCCAAAAAAATCTGATAAAATTAATTGAATGGCAGCAAGAGTTCAAGTACAGCCAAATTTTTGTTAAATGTGATCAAATGTCAGATCTAGCAGTCTGATCAAATAATAAAATCATGTGACATCAGTGATTCCTAACTCACCTTGCATTCATCAGTGATTCCTAATTCACCTTGCATTCATCAGTGATTCTTAACTCACCTTGTATTCATCAGTGATTCCTAATTCACCTTGCATTCATCAGTGATTCCTAACTCACCTTGCATTCATCAGTGATTCCTAACTCACCTTGCATTCATCAGTGATTCTTAACTCACCATGAATTCATCAATGATTCCTAACTCACCTTGCATTCATCAGCGATTCTTAACTCACCTTGCATTCATCAGTGATTCTTAACTCACCTTGCATTCATCAGTGATTCTTAACTCACCTTGCATTCATCAATGATTCCTAACTCACCTTGCATTCATCAGTGATTCTTAACTCACCTTGCATTCATCAGTGATTCTTAACTCACCTTGCATTCATCAGTGATTCTTAACTCACCTTGCATTCATCAGTGATTCTAACTCCTTGCATTCATCAGTGATTCTAACTCACCTTGATTCATCAGTGATTCTTAACTCACC